GGGTCAGTGAAAGAGAGAAAGAACCCCCCTCTCAGTTGGATTGACAAGGTGACTGTAGCAATGGGCTCTAGGGTTTCGGAGATGATGCGGATGGTGTAGGATAGGACAGGGCTCAGGTCTGTTTGTCATAGTGTTGCTGTGAGTTATAATTATCTTGATGGCACCTAACAATGACAACAACACAGGACAGAGTAGAACTTTGCATAGAATTCCTGTAAAAAGAGTAAGGGCCACATGGTGATAGCCATGTATGACTTTTACTGACTTCATATAAGGGAACTGTTCCCATCAATATCACAAAACCAATTCCCATTGTGGTCACACATGTCCCCTATGCTCCAATACCTCTTCTACTCATCTCAACACCTATCTATAGCTTTCATGGATTTAAAATCTGAGGTGCTAGCTCATACACCATACAGAACCATGTTATGGAAGTAAAAAAGTTATAGATTAGTAGTAGAATACAGCCGGGACAGCTTTTGAAATAAGTTCACAGGCACATCAGCCTTGAGCCCCATGGGGTTAGGACATTGTTAAAAAGTTCTCAGTCCTTCAAATTAACATTTGACTAATTGCCCAACAAACTTGGGCAAAGGCTCTTAGCTCTGGTTCCAGTGGTGTAACAGTCCTAACGTAGCTGTCTCACATCAGGTCTCTAGTTCAGCCATGGTTGCACTTTTCCTAATGGTGAGGTTTCTTTACCAGTGCTAGTGAGGGCTCATTCTGCTGCTAGAGCATTTCAATTTATAGGTGAGACTAGCCAATCCCATTGTAGATTGTTGAGACTGTTCAATACCTTTGTGGAATGATAAGATAACTAATCCCCTTGTGAATAAGCTAACAAACCCTATTTGTATAGTCTGCCTATCCACAAAATCAGGTCAGATCAGATGGTTAGGAGAATCATATTGACAGTTAGACTCCATAGTTTCCAAGGCTGCAAATCTTTGCAGAAGCAGACTGCCTTATCTTTCACAGAGTGGTTCGTGAGTTTGACTTCTTGACTTTTTAAGTCGTTTATTTGTATTTAAGCAATGTGTCACCAAGACTCCCTACTATTCCGTACTTTGATTTTTCTTCATTTTAGAAAATTTTGTTTCTTAACTCTTTCAACTTTTTATTTTTAAAAATTTTCAAGATCTGTGTTTTTATATATTAGATCTCCTGTAATTATTCTCCAGTGGTTTGTTATTAACCCCTTCATAGTTCTTATTTGAAATGCATCTTTAATTTTAGTCTTGGTCTTTCTCTTTTTTAACATTCACATTTTAAAAGTATTTGAGACATCACAGTTTTAATTCGTACCAGCTTATATTTTACTGTGTCCCTTATTTTCCTCTCTGATCTTTCTCTTCTCTACCAATTAGACCTTCTTGTAAATCTCATTTCTCTTTCTTCATTCATTGATGCTGAAAACTTAGGTGGTTTTTTTTTCCTCCCCCTGGGATTGCAGGATGAAAAAGAATGTGAGCTAGAACTTCCTCCTCATTACTTATTTCCAAGTTTTTCTCATGATCCTCTAGTTTTCAGTCTTCAGGCCTGGCTCCAATGAAATTCTCCAGTTTATTACTTGGCCCTCAGGAGAGAATACCTCACAACAGTTCTTTGTTACTTTGTCTTACTTATGCCCACTTTTCCCATAGAGTTTACTGGACAAGCAAGTAATTTTGAAGAGGAATGATGGCACTTTCAGGTCACCCTATTCTCAGAATCCCCCTCTTCTATGAAACTTTCTAGCATTTTCTTTTTTATATTTAATTCCATTATATCTTGGGTAGTATGCTTTTTTCTGAAATCTGCTGTCTGCTTGAAATAGTAGAGAAACTGTGATAACCAGAACTTGGATTTTTGTTCTGCCTGAACATGAGAAGATCCTTGGTGGCATAGTCTGTAACTTACTGGACCACTAACGGAGAGAAAAGTCATTGGTTGAAATCTACTAGATACTGTGAGGGAGAAAGCTAGGCAGCCTCCTCTCCTAAATGTTTACAGCTTCAGAAACCACTTAGGTTGTTGCTGTGCATAGGAACTGACTGCACAGCAGTGGGTTTGGTTTTCATAACAAGAAGTTGATAGGTAGGAATTTGCTCAGAATGACAGGGTGAAAGCCTTTGTAGTTCTCTTGGCCTTTATTTTGTGGTTCCACAATGGTCACTTCCACCTCAGCTGACATATTTAGATTTCAGGTAGGCAGAAAGGAGTAACTTGGGCAGCAGGATGTATTTTTGAGGAGTTCAGCCTTCATTTATAAGCTTTTCAGAAAATGATGACTATGATCTTTGCTTGCTCATCTCCCTGTCTAAATGTTGTTGTGGTTAGGTTCCATCTAGTTGAGTATGACTCCTAGCGACCTTATGAACAATAAATTAGAAACCCTGTTCTATCCTGTGCCAGCCTCACAATCTCTGGCACACTCAAGCCTATTGCTGCAGTCATTGTGTCAATCCACCTACTTGAGAGTCTTCTCTTACACTGTACCTCTACCTTTTTTAATCATTAAGTCCTCCAAGGAATAGCCAGCCTCTTCTAACAGCATGCCCAAAGTATGTGAGATGAAGCATTATCAGCTTTGCCTTGAAGAAGCACTCCGGCTGCACCTTCTCTGAGACATACCTGTTTGTTCTTTTGATTGTCCATGGGATGTTCAGTACTCTAAAAAATATTTTGGAAGAAATTGAAGAAATCTTGAGTATGAGTTGGTATTTTATGGCAGTAGGAAATTGATATCATTAATGTTTGATGCTTAAATGGTTATTTTGGTTATATAGGAAAATGTTATTGTATGAAGCTTTTTAGATGCTTCTAAAGGAGAAGCTAGTAAAAGCACTTTTTCTAGGTAGATACATTAGTACCTTCACAATTAGTGTTGTACTGAGAAAGAAGAGGATGGGGATGTTGGGAGGAAGTTAGTTTGTGCTCAACATTAAAACTAGGGAAAGAAGATAGATGTTTTTCATATTGAACTTTTTAGAAGTACATGTTATACATTGTTGGAGGCCTAATTGTATTGCAAATGAGCCCAGATGCACAGTAGTTTAACACAGAAACATAATTATGTCCAAGTGGGAACTCTAGACTCCTCCTGTGGAATATCATCATTATATCAAATGTAAATTATTCAACTGCAGAATGATTCTCTTTTAACATAACTTACTTCATCTATTTGCATATTTTTCAATTTTCTATTCTATTTTCAAAGCAAATTACAGACATTTAAGAGATTCGGCATAAATGTTTCATATAATAACATTTTCCTAAATAACCATAATGCCATTTAAAGATGCAACAAAAATTTCCTAATGACTTTAAATACTAACTCATCTTCAAATTTCTTCACTCTCTTTTGAAATATTTTTACAGTTGTTTCTTCTTAAACCTGGGTCTTATTAAGGAGTATACCTTGCATTTTTTTTGTTTGTATCTTTTAAATATCTTTTGAACAGCCTCCCCTTCTGTTTTTTAAAAACAGAATTTCTGAAAAGGTTAGACTTTTTTTTTTTTTTAGAATGAGGCAAGGGTTAAATTTGTTATTCATTGAATTGCTGTGAATCATAGAGAGACCTCTGTTGGCCAAGTGGGTAGAAAGTTACGCTATCAAGCCAAAGGTGGGTAATTTTAATAGAAAGATTTCTAACATCAGAAACTCAGTGGAGGATCACTGTGAGCTGGAATTGATTGGACCTGCAGGGAGTTTGGTTTGGTTTTGGTTTATTTATAGGTCAACATTCTTCTATATGTGATAACAAGATTGGGATTGGAGGAAGACGAGGAGGAAGACTTATCAACAACCTATGTAATGGAAATAACACAACTTTATTTACAGAAAGTAAAGGCTTAAAGCACTTACTGAAGAAGTTAAATAATACAGTATTCTATATGGGTTATTTGTAAACAACTGAAACAGTACATAGATAGGGAACTGCCAGACGTTCAAGCAGGATTTAGAAGAGGCTGTGGCACCAGGGATCTCATTGCTGATGTCCAGTGGATCCTGACTCAAAATACAGAATACCAGAAGAATGTTTATTTGCGCTTTACTGACTATGCAAATGCAGTTGACTGTATGGATCATAACAGTTGGGGCTGACATTGAAAATAATGTAAATCCTAGAGCATTTGCCTATGCTCATGCAGAACCTATACTTGGGCCCAGAGGCTCTTGTATGAACAGAGGAGGGGAGCACTGCATGGTTTGGAATTGGAAAGGAAGTGCGCCAGGGTTGTATGCTCTCTCCATACCTATTCATTCTGTATGCTAAGCAAATTATTCACGAAACTGAGTTCTATGAGGAGGAATGTGGCAACAGGATTGGAGGGAGACTCATAAATAACCTGCATAACACAACCTTGCTTGTTCAAAGTGCAGCGGACTTGAAGCACATCTTGCAGAAGATCAAGGAATGCAGCCTTCCATATGGATTGCATCTCAATATCAAGAAAAGAAAGATTCTTACCACTGGACCAATAAGAAGCATCATGATGGGTGGAAAGGAGATTGAAACTGTCAACTGCTTCATCTTACTTGGATCCACAATTAACACCCTTGCTACCAGCAGTCAGGAAATAAGGAGACACATTGCACTGGGAAAATCTGCAATTAGAAACTTCTACAAATTATTGAGGAGTAGTGATGTCAGTTTGAGGACTAAGATTTATGACTTTTCTGGAAACCAGATGATTTTCCACTTTGGACTTGACTCTCAGCACAGCTTTTTATGTTCAGACCACTTGTTGGAAGTATGAAGAGCATGGAGAAAGAATCAGTTCAATATCTTATCAGAAGTTGAATGTTAAGTAACTTAGACAAAAACGGAGTAAATTAGAGTTTATGTTGTGCTTTCTTTAGTTAACATTTTAAATGTATTTTCAATCATTATTAGGTTTGGAAATTAGAAGTTGTTTTTTTTCCTTTTCTTTTTCCAGAAGAGGTCTATCAGGCTCTTTTGGTAACTTGATTTTGCAACTAATCCATTTTCAATGTGATTATTTCTATTCAGGGTGAAAAGTTTGGACCATTTGCTGGAGAGAAGAGAATGCCTGAAGATTTGGATGAAAATATGGATTACAGGTTGATGTGGGAGGTAAGGATGCAATTATTACTTGAAATATTTAGAATTATTCTCTTCATAGTATTTAATGCATTTGCAAAGCCGAGTAAACGTGTATTGATTTCAGTCCAGTATTTAAGCATTAAAATGATTTTGTTTTAAGGAAACTGATTAAATTGAAAGCATTTTTAAAGATGTTGGTTGATTACAATGTCTTGTGATACAGACCTTCTAGAATTTTATAATTCATGAATGAAGAAAAAGTTTTCCATGTAAAGGTGTTTGGATTTAAAAATAAGCATGTCTCTTGTACTTAATTTGCAATTTGATTTCTGGAAATGGAATTATACTTTTCCTTTAATGAGACATTTATTTTCCCATTGTGACTCTAATTGCATAGCAAAAATTTAGGGCTCCTTGTAGAAACAAAAATCCTAAAGCTTATTTTTAAAAACATGTGTTTAGGAAGCTGTGTCAATATAGATAGATTTTCCTAAGGTCTCACCTCCTCGTCAGGTGTCTGTATGTATGTGCAACTCATACGTAGACTGTATATCATGTATTGTGAGAAGTTAAAAATTAAAAATTCTCAAGTACTTTCTTTCCTTTAGAGAAAGAAGAGTTGAGTTGGAAATAGGAAGACATAAATAAAGAGGTTATGGAAGTATAAACTTGGGGGAAAAAAACTTAGCCCAAAATTTGTATTTCATGGATTTTTTAAGAGTATGAGAAATGAGAATCATAAAGTCAGAAAGGTTTAGAATACTGAACTAAAAAACTATATTTATAAATAATCTCTCTGAGAGTGTATTTTTTGTAACAAACAAAGAACATCAGTAAATATGACCAGGTTATGAGTAAGATATTATTAAAAGTTGTGACTGAAAAAAGTGAAGAAAATAATAATAATCTAATTCTCCCTGTAATTTAAAGTGGAAAAATATTACTGACATTACCTTAACATACTTGTTTAATTGTTTATTTTAGGAACCTAAAAATATTTTTAATGGCTTTTGCTAATTTTGAACCAAGTCTTAATTATCTCAGCAGTAATTCTTTTTCTGTGAATGTCACAGAAATCCCTGCTATATATGACAATATGTAATCTAAATAAATTATAAATGATAAAAATAAGTTGTTACTTTAGTGGTTTTTGATATTATGTTTATAGTTTCTAAAACATTTTGGTGTGATGGTCAATTTAACGTTTTATACGACTAAGTGTAAGGTATTATTAGACAGATAATGATTATAATTTTTCTGAATTGCTTATAAGTACCTTGAGAAGGCAGTTTTTCTATTGTTCTGTTTACTGACTCATAATTCAGTGATAGTTTTGCTTTGTTTATTTCTGTTGCATTTGAAGTCTATATTTCTTCTTTTGGTATTGCATACCATTCTGGAACCCAAAGACTTAAATTTTGTTCAGGCTATGTTATAGTAACCTATTGGTTGTTAGTCCCTAATTTATTTAATATATTACTTTATGTTCCTATTTTGAATAAATAATTCTTGTACTTAGTAAGAAGGAGCACTGGTGAGTACCATTTCAGGCTGTTAACCAAAAGGTAGGTAGTTGTAGTATACCAGCTGATCCACAAGATAAAGTTAAGCAATTTCATTTTGTAAAGATTTACAGCCTTGGAATCCTGATGGAGGCTCAGCATGAGTTGGAATCAGCTCGGTGGCAGAAGGTCTATTTTTTTTTAAGTACTTATTAAGAAGTCCCTGGGTAGTGCAAACTGTTCCCATGTTTGGCTGCTAACCGTAAAGGTCAGTGATTTGAGTGTACTTTTGAAAACTTCTCAGGGAACTCTGAAAAAGTCATCCATTGAAAACTTTACACACTTGGATCTCCATAGACTGACGTTGATTTGAGAGTAACTGACCTATGGTATAGTTAATCTGAAATGGTATTTAAAGTGTCTTTTTGGGAGCTCTGGTAGACTAGTAGTAAGACACTGTGCTGCAATCCTAAAGCACACAGTTTAAATCTAGCCACTGCTCTGAGGGAGAAGGATGGGCAGTCTCCTCCTGTGTGATTTACTACCTCTGAAAGCCCACTGGAGGGTCAGGTGTGAATTTGTTCTGACTGGACACAAAAACAGAAACACCACCATTTAATTCATGGTAAGCGAAAGAATTCCTTAATAGATTGTTATGCAAGTGCTGCTTAGAATTATTTATAGAAATGCTTTAGGGAAGATTTTCCTTTACAAAACTGCCAAAATAAAGTCTTTTTTCTTGGGGCTGATTATTTACATGATTTTTAAATGCACTGTAGCTACATCTTTGAATTCTCTGCTAACCATCATGTATATTCCTTCTCAAAGCAGTAGTTATCCAAGCAGAGGTTACAGAACCTAAGTCAGATACTGGTGATCATGTGTGGAACATGAAGTCCAGTTTCAGGTCCATATTCTCTCTAATGGATCTTGAAGATCCTTTCTTGTCTCTCTCAGCTAGCAGTTAGTAGCCCTGGGGTTGTTTGGCTTGCAGCTGCCACATGGTTCCATCTCTACAGCCATCGTCACATGGCCGTCTTCTCTTTGGGTTTCTTCGTCTTTTCTCTTTTATGAGGACACTGTTCATAGTGGATTAAGGCCAGCTTTTCTCTAGTTTGATCTCATGCTAATTGATGACATATTTAATGACTTGTCAAATAAGTTCACTTTACTGGTGTCTAGGCTAAGAACTTCAACTTCTGTGCGATATACAATTCAATCCATAAAACTCTTTATAACCTCAAAAGTTGAAGCTTGAAAATTATTGATGCTGACTGCTTTAGAACATCACTGTACTTTTATTCTTTCGGAATAGCCCAGTAGAGCTGAGCTTGAAGACTCAAGAAACTAGGTCTTTTCTGTCCATAATGCTCCCTGATAACCTTAAATTACTACTTTTAGTTTAAATTAATTTCAGAATTTTATTTAAAAGTTAGTTTAGCAGAATCTTGAACTACTTAAGTCATAGGACATTTACAGACCTTGAAGTTGGAAATCTCAAACATTTACGATTAACTCTCAAATGACAATTATTAATATGGGTCAGGATCATACCATATTTGTTCTTTTGTATTATGTTACCAAGAGTGAAACAGATCCTAATGACAATAATAATAACAGGTGGGAATTTAGTGCCTAATTGTAGATTCTTTTCTATGATAATTAGATATAATGAACACAGTTCTCTTTCCATTATCAAAAGACTTTTTGCCTACCTTTTGCCTAGTAGTTTAGAACTTGAGATATATTTTGCTCCACTTGCTACCTGCTCAAGCTAACATCCAGCCAGCCATGTGCTGTTGCTAAAACTCTCAGTAATTTTTTTGCCTTTAACTCTCCAAGACGTTATATTTCTGTAATATTTTCCAGAGAAGGTCAAGCAGCAGCTTACATATTTCTCCACAGCACCGAGTATGTCATCTCAGTACATACCTTTATATTTTGGCAGCTGTAGAATCTAATTTAGAAGAATGGGAGTGGGAATCCCAGTGCTCATGCAACACCAGGGCTCTTGTTCAAACAGAGCGAGAGAACACTACATGGTTTAAAATGAAGAAAGAAGTGTATCAGGGTTGTTTTCTCTCTCTACATCTATTCAATCTGTATAATTTGCTCAGCAAATTATTTAGATGCTGGATTCTATGAAAATGAATGTGACATCAGGATTGGAGGGAGACCCATCAATAATCTGCATTATGCAGGTGACACAGCTTTGCTTGCTGAAAGTGAAGAAGTCTTGAAGCACTTATTGCAGAAGATTAAAGAACACAGTCTTCAAATGAATTGACTCTCAATGTCAAGAAAACAAAGGTTCTTACAAGGAAACATGATAGATGGAGAAATTGAAACTACTTCATCTTATTTGGGTGCACTGTTAACACCCTAGGTACCAACAGTCAGGTTATCAGGAGATGTATTGCACTGGGAAAGTCTACAGTTAGGGATCTTTCCAAATTATCGAGGAGTAATGATGTCAGTTCAAGAACTAAGGGTGAGTTTGCTTCAGGCCATGGTCTTTCCGATCACTTGCTGTCTGTCCATTTGGGAGCTGGACAGTGAATAAAGATGACAAAAGAAGAATTGATGCCTTTCAGTTGTGGTGCTGGAGAAGAGTACTGAATATCTCATGGACTGCCAAAAGAATAAGCAGATCTTGGAGATTGTGCAACCATAGTACTCTTTGCAGGTCAAAGATGATGAGACTTTGCCTCACATACTTTGGGCATATTGATAGGAGGTGCTATTCTTTAGAGAGGGACATGATGCTTGGAAAGGAAAGAGGACCGACAAAGAAGACCCTCACCCAAGTGGATGATAGGGTGATTGCAGCAGTGGGCTTTAATGTGTCAGGAATTGTGAGGATGGCACATGGTTCATACCTGGTTTTCATAGGGTCGCTATGGGTCATACGCGACTTGATGGCAATTAACAGCAGCAGCAGCAGCAGCAGCAGCAGCAGCAATCTAATTCAAGTTACATATTTTCTTCATAACTAATCTGTTACTCAGGTGTTCTGAAATGACTACTAGTAAATCTTCTCTTCATAGATGTTCTCTGTTATCACTTAATAAAAAAATTTTTTGTCAAATAGCCTGCCTGGTAAGTTGTCAAGTTGGGCCTTTTTGTAGTTCTTAAAGTGGAATCATATATTCCTGAATTTTATGTCTATTTGGAGATCACAAAAGTCTTAACTATATCCATATCTCACTGTGTTAGTTTTTCATGCTAAGCCCTTTATCGTCTTTTCAGATCAGTGTTTCAGTAGTTGAGCTGATACCTTTGGCTCTTCACTGATGGATTGTGCAGTCAGAGCTGGATACTCAGTTCAGTAATTACTAGGTGGTTCTCTGGGAACAAATAGTGCTCATAGTTAGCTGGTAAAGAATTCACAGACATAGTATCAAAGAACAGATAGAAACTGGAGACTCAAGTGAAATATCCAGTTCTTAATGTTGATCATAAATGAAAAAAGGTAAAAATCTGTTATTTAAATGAAGATTGAGTGTTTTTTTTTCGATTATATCATCT